CTGAGGCTGCAAAAGCGCTTACACTCCTGCCTGACTCCTACTTTTCCCAGCCTACCGTGCTTGCCGGCGACTTCAACCTACTACATAGCAGGTGGCAGCCATCACTGCATTGCAGCCCTACCACCTTTGCTGAGCCATTTGTTGACTGGCTTGATCGCCTAGGGCTGGTTCTTATCTCCGAGATAGACCAGCCTACACACGATAGAGGCAACGTTCTTGACCTCACTTTCGCCTCCAGCTCCCTAGCACTGGCAGGGTCGAGTACCAGGATAGCAAGTCATTTAGAGTCAACATCAGATCATCGGCCACTCCTCACCACCATGCCATGGAGCCAGAGATTCACAGAGGCAGCTCAGAAACTGAGATTTGATACATTAGACCACCCTCGCTTCCTCTCACTACTCAGTTCCCACCTTGCTGTCATTGAATGCTCAGCTACAACAGAAGAGGGCCTGGACAGTCTAGCTCATGGGTTAACCTTAGCAACTGCTAGTGCGTATAAAGGCTCTGCTAGGAGCTCCTTGGCGCAGGGAATAGGTCAGCCATGGTGGAATATTGACTGCAGAAAAGCGTTGCAAGACTTCCGCTTAGGTCTCTGTTCAAGAAACGACTTCCGTCGGATAACTAGACGGTCTAAATAGCAGTTCTGGCGAGATAAACTTACCGCAGTGACACAGATCAAAGATGTCTTTGACATAAGCAAGTGACATAAGTTTACAGGATCTTATCGAAACCCTCCACTAAACGACCCTTTAAGGCCAAACAGCCCTCCAGCAGGGGCTCTGAATGAGAAACAAGACGTATTAGTCCGTAATCTTCTTCAGAATACTGCTGAAGCGGGTGATATACCTTTAGACTCTCCAGCTGTCCCATCAACTAGCCTACCATTCCCAGATATAACGATGGCGCAGGTTGAGAAAGCTGTCCTTCAGGCAGGTAACACAACTCCTGGAGCAGATGAAATTCCCACCTGTGTAATCAAAGTGGCATGGCCTTTGATCAAGGACAAAGTTCTAATGCTCTACCAAGGCTGCCTTAAGATAGGATATCATCCTAGATGTTTCCGACATGCTGTCCTAGCTATCATTCAGAAGCCAAAGAAAACTGATTTGTCCTCCCCCAGGTCATACAGACCGATTGCTCTCCTCTCAGTCCTCAGCAAGGGGCTTGAGCGACTGGTGGCACGGAATATGGCATGGGTCGCTATACATCACAAGGTCCTTGCAAGTCAACAGTTCGGAGCTCTCCCCCTCAGATCTGCAGTTGACCTAACTACATGCTTAACACATGATGTGGAGCAAGCATTAAATGAGGGCAAGACTGCCTCACTCCTCACTCTTGATGTTAAGGGAGCTTTCAACACTGTCCTTCCTGGTAGACTAGTTCACAGGCTACGTATGCAGGGATGGCCTGACAACCTTGCTCGCTGGGTTGCGTCCTTTGCTACAGGACGGTCAGTACAAATCCGGCTTGACGGACAAATCAGCCCATTAACAGATATTTCTTGCGGCCTCCCACAAGGCTCCCCAGCCTCCCCTCCGCTGTTTATGCTATACCTGGGCCCCTTCTTCTGTCTAGGCAACCCGAATACTAAGTTTGGCTACGCAGATGATGCAGCTTTGCTGGCAATCTCTCCGTCCCTCTCTGATAACTGTCAAATTCTATCTAAGACCCTACAGGAAGCTCTTGATTGGGGCTCTGCAGAAGGCATCACCTTTACACCAGATAAATATGAACTCCTCCACTTCTCACGGCGCAGGACGGACCAGTCCCCAGGCCTGACTCCTTCAGTAATAGCCGGCCCAGTCACAATCTCTGAAAACCCAACTCGCCCATATCTACGCTGGTTAGGGGTGCTCTTTGACAAAAAGCTCACTTTCAAGTAGCATGTTAGAGAAATGGCTTCAAAGGCTCTTATAGTGGCGAATGCCCTCCGCTCCCTTGGAAATACTGTCCGGCGAATCCAGCCCCACCTCATACAACAGGTTGTAACAGCATGTGTCCTTCATAAAGTCTACTATGGCGCTGAAACCTAGTGGCCAGGCCGCGTCCGCCCTGGCCCTCCTCAGATCTCAAATCGAGTGGAAGGGCACCTTGAGAGGATAACAACAGTGATATTAGCAGGTGCAAGAGCAGTCCTTCCTGTTTTCCACACGACTCCAGTGTCTGTTCTGCACCGCGAATCTGGGCTCCTTACTCCTCAAATTAAGCTAGACCAGGTTGCCTCCTTAGCGACAACACGCCTTCGGCGCCTTGACCCATATCACCTTTTACGAAAACGTGCTGGGAGGATAGTTCGGGCAGGCCGCCCAACTAGCCAATTCACACGCCGGGTGCTATCACTCCCTAAATCTGAGCAGATTAATCCTCTTTAGTATACTCCCTGGCTCCCCCAAGAAGCGCGTAAAGACGCCCAACTCCGGATAGGGGCCCCTATGGGTCGTTCAAAGGAACAGGCAGCAGACGACTTCACAGAGTTCTATTACTCTCTCCCTGGAACCGACATCAAAGTCTTCTCAGACGGATCCAAGCTATCAAATGGACAAACAGGCGGAGGCTTTGCCGTGTTTCAGGCTAGACATCAGTTCCTTCGCTCCTCCTTCTCCCTCGGACCTAATAAAGAGGTCTTTGATGCAGAAGCAGAAGCGGCATTAGCTGGCATGAAAGCAGCCATGTCGCTCGAAACAGCTCGATTTGCCACTAATCTGTGGGTATTTCTTAACAACCTGGAAGTCGCCCTCCGTCTCCTTTCACCCTCTACAGGCTCATCCCAAAGAGTCTTCAAGACCTTCTGTGAG